AAGAACTTTGAACTTGACAAACCCCTTCACTATGCGATTTCTACTCTAGAGAAAAAGTCGAGGGAACACAAATGCCCCCGTTTTTATCTGGATCCTGTTTTTCTTGCTCATCATCTAAAAATCCAAGTAAAGCTAAAAACAGAAGGTAAAGAACCAGGACAGACAGATATAGAGAAACTGGAAGAGTTGTCCGTCTGTCTGTCGGAGAGGGAGCCGTATCTGGGACGGTTGTCCTACAGGTACTCTGGAATATTACTACTTCAGGGATATAAACCGTTACTGGATGATTATCATCTTGCTTTCAAAACCATCAACAAAGAAAACCTTGATGGCTTTAATCAAAGACTATATGCCACAAACTTTGATCTGCGTTAGCTGAAAGGTGTGAATGTTCCTTTGTGATTCTAAGATAAAAGTATTTGATAAAATTCATGATACTTTTTATTGGACTTCGAATTCTTACCACCATTGATAGAACAAGTCCAACAGTGTACACTATAGTTTACACTCGATCACTGTCTGACAATTTACATAGGTTAATAAAATAAAGAAAATCTTTGTTTAAATCCCACAGTTAGTGTTTTTGGAACAGAAGTAATCATATGCTACACAAAACTTGGAAAAATATCAACTTCAATAACTGACATTTCCAATCTGTCGAAAGTAACTCGAAACCAATTTGTACACATGTATCATCTAAGCCCTGTTGTTACAAGAACTATTTATGAATTCATATGAAGCAAATTTTGTTAAAATAAACATGTGCATGATGAGAGGAAGAAAACACTTGCTTTGAGTTTCAGCTCGACATTTAGATATATCGACGACACGTTATCAAAACAACAGTTTCTTCAATCCTTATATCGACTCGAAATTTCTGAACCTGAATTAAGATACCACAGAGTCTCACAAATCTGTTTCATATTTAGATATTTTACTAGAGAAAGACGTCAAATAAACGTTATGATAAAGGTGTTGTCCTCATTTTCTTTTTTTTTTCAACTTCCCTCTCTTATTTAGCAATGTACCCTATCTCATCTTTGGAATAAAATAATTGCGATTATCTTAGATCCACCAGCAATCCCCACCGTGTTTTTTGTTTGTTTTTTAACTGCTGATATTTCAAGAACGTTCATCGAGACGGAGTTTTTAAATTAAATTAAATTAATTGAATTACGATAATTACTTTGCAAATGAAATGCACATACATGTATAGTTTACGGACAGCAGGTCATGCGTTGAGTATAAGTGCAATCATTTTGTAGTTTAAAGAGTAATGAATTTGATACCATTGGTTGCATGGCCTATAAATAGATCGACGGAACAGAAACATTTTGAAATTTAAATAGAACGATCAGAAGATTAGAATTAATACAGGATTTTCAGTGCTGTGAATACATATCATTGCAAAAGAGCATATCTAAAAAGAAATTCCTCTGGAAGGAAGATAATTTTCAATTCAGTATTTAAGTACCAGACGAACTTCCAATTTTGATAGGAATTTCAACGCACACGTGCACCAAATTAGATGCAATGAGTACTCCAGGTAGAAATCTACTAAGGGTTAAACTCTTTTTCTGAAATAAGTTACATAATAAATAATTTAAAGCTTTAAAAAAAAAAAATCGTCAAAATTGAATTGAGTATGCCTGGTGAGGATAACGTCCTTTTTTAATTTTTCATCTTCCTTTCATAATTTACATGTTCTTAAAATTACGTAATGCAGGACAAAAGAAGACTTTAGACACACTTGAGTTTTAAAGAACCTTCATAAATTATTTTAGAAATTTAATGAAGGGCTTCCTTCATACATGTAATTGATTTTTAAGAGGCATTGGTTTTTGCAAATCATTCATTCTTGTGATATAGAATTTAAAAAAAAGTTTTTTTTAAAAGACTGATATGAAGGAAATAAACAATTTAAGTGATTAATTAATTTATTGATTGTAGGATCATCATTTGAACATTGCATGTTATCAATCTTTCAGGGGCATGTGATGAATATGAGATAGATTCAAGGCTAAAATTATATTTAGAAACTCTGGATTCCCGACAACGTATGGTGGAGGGGATTCGACTCTTCCATCATAATATTTGGTCCAAATATAAAAATCGCAATGCTCTTATAATTCAGCATCGATCTGGAAGTAGGGTTGAAAAACAAACTAGAATTTCTCCGAGTGACACCCACTCTGATATAGACTTTATGTTAGAGGTGAATGGTATCCCAGTTTCTGTCCAAGAGAATGAAAACGTGTTCTTCCAACCGACATCAAGAGATGGTTATTACGGACGAGTTCTGATTAGCAATAACTTCAAAGATTTCCTGATGATGGACGCACGATTGAAAACCATATTCAACAATTCCTGCCTTACACTAGATAAATTTTCAAATAGATCAGTGCTGGTACCGAGAGAATTCAAGGAGAACGTGTTGCGTATAAGTGAGTTTGAGTACAAACAGAGTAAGAGACAATCTAGCTCTAGTCCATCAGTACCCGGAAAAGGCGTCGTCAATGATTATGATGTTGTCCCGTGTCTGAAGCTAAAACAATGGCCAAATGAAACACAGTCATGGATTCAAAGAGGGAAACATGGAACAGTGTTTGATTTTTCATGGAGGCAGAAAGTGTACCATGAAGCTCCCGTTTTCCTTGTTGCGACAGGAGACCCAAGTTCTTATTTTCAACATGAACAATTTCGAGTTTCATTTTCAATGATTGAAATCGAGTGCTTCAAGAAACTGCCAGACGCCGCACGACGTCTTTTTGGTCTAGCAAAGTATATAGTTAATCGCCTTCTTTCTTCTGTGAAGTTTCTTTCATGGTTCCATGTGAAGTATCTATTGTTTTGGATGGTTGAGGTAGAGAACGAAACTTATTGGAAAGAAGTATTGCCTCTTTCTTTTATCATGCGACTAATGGACACTATCCGCCGATCAATTCGCGAGGGGACGATCAAACATTTCTTCTTGGACGATTGTAATATTTTCCCTGAAAGCAAAAGAACATATGAGAGAGAACGTTTCTATGAATGTATTCTGACGGATAAACAGATAATTATAGACTGTATAAAAAATCTTCTTCAGATCGAAATGCAAGGTTCTCTCTTTGACCTCTCAGCTCCAATAATAAATAAAGATATGGAAAAAAGTTCATTAAAAAGCAATGTTGAGGTGTATTTGACAAGGCTTTTAAGCGTGATAGTCTATGTTTATCTGGAATCATGTGGTGACCAAAATTTTCGCCATGAGTTTAGGGAGGAAATACTCAAGGACTGCAGACAGGAAAAATGCTTGGTAAAATTAGTGCCACTAGTGGAATTATATCTTTATGATATTAAAACAGATTGTGATAGCTTTAATTATTGGATCCACCATGCTTTTATATCTTACATGGATGGAAATATTGAAAAGAGCTCGATTTTGTGTTCCCAATACAGGCACTGCACGGATAATGATGACTATGTAATCGGAGTCTCCATCATGAAACACCACAAAAGTCTAAAATTAGACGCTCCTCTTCTGTACGCTCTCAATGAACTAGAACGTCGGGCTGGGACATGTCCTCGCGTATGCATACATCCGACGTTTTTATCGCGTCACATTCTTGTCCAGGGCGAACTGAGAAAAAATAACATATGTGTAAAACGCTTGAAGGAAGCCTTTTCTGATCTGGTGGACTTGAGTAAGACGCTTTGTGAAAGAACGCCGTATCCTGGTTCCTTGTCGTACAAGTCTGTGGCCATGCTTATCCTCCAAGGTTATTACGAATACTTCAAAGACAAACAGATACAGATTTAATATCGGAATACCTTGAGATACATAGGATCCAGTAAACATCTGATCACAACTTGTAGTTTTGATATTACATAGATAAATATTACCAAAATGTTTTTTTGTAAAGCCCATCAAAAAGAATTGTTACTTTATAATAAGCACATACATTAAACATTCGTTGTCTGAATTTTTTGCATGGTTACTTGAAATTCTCATTAAAATTGAAAATGCAAGCATTAATAGATGTTTTTGCATTGATAGCCAGATTTCTTAATGACAGAAATATCTAGCTAACAAATAAAATCAAGCTAGAAAAAAATTCACATCAAGCATGGACCTTTGAAAGGTCACAGATGGAATCAGATGCCATGAGAAATAAGCTTCCCTGGTTTATGGTCACGCACGCTGTGTGCTCCTGGTCATGATCGGTCAACCAAAAAAACATAGTAAATAATTCAGTGTGAATATACATGTACCCACCTAATAAATTGTATGAAAAGTTCAATCAACATTCAAATTAATAACAGATTGTATTCGTTAACAAATATATTGTATTGACTACAGAATTTGCGAAATCCTAAATTTACACGGGATTGTTAATATCCCTAAACGAACAACTTATTTGTCAACAGCTTGCCTTATTTCTGAAATTTTTCATATTAGTGATTGAATTCTTGGTTTAAGCAGCTCCTCTCAAAGATTACAATTATATTGGGAGTACATTGCATAGTTTGATATTTAATCTAAGGATTAGGAGAGGGAAGACTAATGATGGACATTCCTTAATCTTATATTAGTATAAAGTAAAATTTGTTCTGAATAGTTTATTTTCAAAACCCTATTCTTTTGATTTTGATAACTTCAGTCCCGTTTAGGTTTCCTTCTTAAAAGTCAGAAAAAATAGCTTTTAGTTGAAAAAATAGCTTCCAAGAGCTAATTTGCAAACACAGTTTTGAGAAAATGTATTCAGTTTAATAATGTAAAGGGTAAGGTTAAGATAACAAGAAATATCAATAACAGATGAAGATATTTGAACTTAAAAGCGTGTTTACATGGTCCATCAGCCGCAAAACGTATCTATACTGTTCGAGTCACTAAGTATCTTCAATACTGGCCAAAGTGCAATTATGTTAACAATCTTTTCTCCCCTAGATGAAAGAATAGAATCAAAAAATCTTTCGAGGGTTTAAAGCATCTTTCATTTGCTTCAGTTTTCTTGTCGTCATCTTAATGCAAACACAGTGCTTCCACTTCCGGATAAAAACCAGCCTTGTTTTACATGTTGTTTCATATCAGGATACAGTTCTACTGTTGATTCACACAAATAGTTGGCGATGTAGGCATCGGACGTTTCTAGAAACTCCTTAGACGATATTGTTTTTAATTCTTCATACTTTTCTGACGAAAGCTCTTTGTAATGCTTCTCTCGGAAATTACGGTACACTTGACCAGTGTTACATCTTATGTTGGGGGTCTTATACCTTAAGTCCAACGAATTTTCATTGATTGGTTCAACTTTTTCACCAATTCCCAGAACATTTGCACATTCAACATCATACAGAAAAAATGGCACATCAGCACCAACGGTTTCGCCTATCTGACACAGTTCTTCTGTTGTAAGACTCAGTCTACAAGACTCGTTCACCATCTGTAGAAATGTGGCGGCATTTGAAGAGCCACCTCCCAGACCGCCAAATTCAGGTATCCTCTTGTCAACCACCACTTTGAACTTACGGAAAAATTCCCTGATCTGGTCACATTTTAGGTTTCTTTCAAGTAAAGATCGGTAAGACCTGTAAATGGTGTTGTCTTCTCGAATGCATGAAAAGTCCCCCTCTAGAACAAAATCGTTTTGAACACTTGAAACAAATTTAACTTCATCGTAAAGATTCTCAAGTCTCATAAATCTCGATAAGAATTCATGATATTCTCCACGTTTCTTTGTCACCTTCAAAAATATGTTAACTTTTGCATAACTTTTCTTCGATTTTACCAATAGATGTTGTCGGTCCAATACAATATACTCAGTATTGCTTGACATGTGCTGCAGTAATATATGTTTGATTTATTTGAACAGACTTTTAAAAAAATTGGCATGCACATCGACGCCTCTTTACAGTAACTTGAATGTATGTATGCTGAAACAATACTGGCTTTTGTGGATCGATATATACCACTATATAAAAAATATCTGATTGTTTTTCAGAAAGTCTAATTACGAGTGCAAGCTTTCAGAACTTTTGGGCATAAGCCAACTAGGAATTGGAATCTAGATGACGAATTTAATAATATATTACGGGTATCTTAACTTTAATGAATTAAAATGATTACTGATGCAGCGTTCGCTTTTTTTTTTGTACAGCGGTGACAACAAACTGAGGTTCTGGTTGATAAAGCTGGCTGGGCACTTTGCTCCACAACCAAGTTCTAAACGTACTCGCTGTCTAGCCCTTATTCAGGATTGCTTCACTTTTTTCGCAGGAGGGCTATTCTATAAATAATGTCCTGAACTATGACATAACACAGATATCATATGACATTAAGCTTGACTCTCTCTCTCTCTCTCTCTCTCTCTCATGGTTGAATCTTTAATGAATTGATATCAGTTTATGTGACCACTTTTTCTCTGATATTTTTATTGTGAGAAGCTGAAAAAACAAGGGTTATTCGAGACACTGCATTAAAAATGAATGGTAGAGAATTAGAAAACTAGAGTGAAATGAAACGCTTCATTATACATGTTATAGCTGCTGTAAAACTTGTTAAGAATCCCAAAGAAATCTTCACTGAAATTTGTGAAATTTACAGCAACCAATGCCTGTTTTATAGACACATGAGCAGGTGGATTTCAGTGAACTATAATGATATAAGGGGCATCAAATGTGAGTACCGTCCTTGGCGACAAGGACATACAACAACAAATGTTCTTTTTCCCAAAATTCAACAAATCATCACTGATTGTGTTGACTTTAAAACACATAAGAAACTTGATAGGCGTCGATTTTGGGGTAGTTCTAATATTTTAAAGAACTTTTTGACAGTAAAAAAGCTTAGTACTCAATGGGCACCCTATGTTTTGAAAAATGAGTGAAAACGACAGCGTGTAGGAATATCTAAACAATTAATTCAAAAGATCAGAAATTGTAGTTATCCACGTTTGCCGGAAAATCAAACAGACAATGAAACTTGAATCCATTGTTTTAAACCCTCAAAACAAATTTATAATAAGATGCTTGACAAAAACAGGAAAGGTCTGAAAAGACCGAAGAGGACAAGGACGGTTTTATATGCTACTGTCTTAAATTCTAATTCGAGGAGGTAGTTCAATTTCTGGATCTGGACGAGTCTAGAAAGCAAAATTTTTGCAAAAAAATCGAAAGGTTTATGAGAGGAAGGAACCAGAATCAGGAATCCACTACTTAATTTAGTTTCATGAAAGCATCCAAATCCACACTCCTTGGAGAGTAAAGGTGTTTTGGGGATAAACAGGAAGTTAATGTTTTGTCCAACCAACAATATTCGCCAGATCTGTCTCCCTTTGATTTGGTTCATTTCCCCAAACTTGATTAAAAAAAAAACCCATTGGAAAGAAGAAACAAGTCCAGGAAATCATAGGATCTGCCATATTGTAGTCTACGAAGGGTCATACTCAAAAATGAGTTCTAAAACAATCAGAAATTGGATAAAAATGTTTCGGACATTTGTTTTAATTAGAAGAGAATACTTAACTGTTTAGGTTGTGTCATGTTGTAAATTTTGAATTTACCGGGTGGCAGTAAATACAAAATTTACATTGTAAATTTTGTATTTGCAGTCAATACAAAATTTACATCGTAAATTTTGTATTTACTTCCACCCGGTAAATACAAAATTTACAACATGACAGTTGAATCATTAAGACTAGATCATTAAAAAGCGTATTTTGCTTCTTTCTGAGCACTGAGGATATTACTTATTGAACATCCCTTGTATCTCTAAGTTCCCTGGTTTACTTTTCAATAGTGCTATAACTTCAATCCTAGCCTTTTTTAACTTCTCACAGCATTGTCACATTACTAATGACCTTTTCCCCCCAACATTGAAACTAATTTCTAATCTCGTCAGTAAAGACAACTTGAATCTGCTTCTGCAGCCTATATAGAAAAGGGCTACGCCATCATAGCAGGGGTAAACAGGCTCCTGGACTATACCATTAGTCCTAGTCCCACCAGTGTTTGGAAGGTATGGACCCTTATTTATTACTTTTTTTAAAAGTCAGACTTCTTCTCCGATCCCGATCTCATTCACAAGACTGTCTTACACATCGGACTCGTTATTCCAAAATTACCGCATCACTTTGTTTTGTGTTCTGGGCCGACTCATTGACTGGAGCGATGTTTTATTAAAAATCGATGACATTTACCATAATGTACCCCATGTATTATGGGAAACAACAACCAAAAACTGCCTTTAAGAAAAGCACAATCTGTTCCCGAATCACAGGTAGTGTTGTTACTTTTTTTATGAAACTGTTAACTGATTACAAGAAAATGAAGTATACTTGGTCTTTCCCCCCCAGCTTTGTATAGTTGGACACCCGCACTATGACCGCTAAGAAATACCAACCAAAAATCCTTAATACTACTGATTTTTGAGATAGAAGAAAAATCATGACAGTATGGTCTATGATTTATTCGTTTTATGAATGAAAATTTTTGACACATCTTCATAAGTCATTTTAATAGTATAGATATATTTTTTGATTGCAGTTTTTACAAGTTACCAATCCTGATCTAGTCAGAGATAAAAATAGGGGATCTGCGAGGCTAACTCGAGGAAAGTCCCAGGATGGATTGGACATAGCAATAAGTACTCCAGAAAAGCCTGCGTTAAATGTACCCCTGGTAGAGGCCCTCTTTCTTCCAGATTTCCCAATAAAGGGAGATGCTCAAGGCCAGGAATTTGAGGTATCCTACAGTTATGAAGAAATGTTAAAGGCATTTAATTGAAATCATTGTTGATCTGATATTTTTTACTTAAGCCACACCAATAAAATTTATTGTTCTTTGGACAACTGACCCCAAAAAATTGGGGTGAGCGAGTGATTTGATAATTATAATATTAAAATTTTTATCAACAAAATTTCCAGGCGGTGAAGTGAAATGATGGAGTGGGCGATTATATATTTTTTGTTTTCCTTTACATTTCTAGAGTAAATCATTACCAAATCTTTTCCAATTGCCCTGATCATGCAAGACTTTCAATACTCCAATGTTTAGAGTATCATTAGGGCATTTGATACAGGTTTCTCATTGTATAAAGGTACAAAATTCTGTAAATAAATCTCCTAGTAATATAGAATATTTTAAACTCTCCTATGCACCCGAAACCTTTGGTCTTTTCTGGAATCCATGTTTTTTTCTCCTGTATAATATTTGCTTGGTTTAATACATGTACATTCAGGGATTTTCCACTACCCCGTGTAGGGCCGAATATGGGCCCCATTCCCAATTGCAAAACCCCTCCCTTTTTCCCAAAAATGAACTGCCTATATTCAATTTTTGAAAGAAGAAGAACTCAAGAAGGTAACCTGAACATAATTCACAAAATATAAACATGTTTAGGTGTGGAAATTTGAATGAAATGAACAAAATTTTGAAGAATCTTGGGTAAAACTTTATTATAATGATCAATTCTCTGATTCATAGTTCTGAATAACAACGTAAAAGATCAATTTTTATTCATCTTAAGTATTTATTTCTCGAAAAACATCATACAATAAAATTTCCCAATGTGATAAAATGTCGTAAAATTCCCAATTCCAAGGGCCTGGGCCCCATTCCCAAAAATGAGTGGAAAATCCCTGACATTTAGGCACCGACATTTATCACTGTTAAAGAGTGTTTGTTACCTCCATCTTTTACATATATTTGAAAACATATCAATAAAATGTGATGTGATCAAGACTATGAACAATCACATAAAACTGTCCAATTACAACAGCACTACCGTTATCATTATTTTTTTGTATTTATGCACAATATCAGAAGCTGAACATCGCCCCAAATTTTACTTCACATAATAAAAAAATAAGACTTTGTAGAACTGTCGACAAGTATGTCTCATTACTATTTATCATTTTAAAATAAAGTATCAAAGATGTTTAAATATAATCTGGCTAATCTACGACAGCTTGGAATTAGTACATGTAAACACGGAATCTGTTTAAAAATTGTCTGATGTGGAAACGATTCTACCTACAACTTGCATGCACTGTGATTCAACTGGCGGGAAATGGAACGAAAAATTCCGGAAGCGGGAAATTTGAAATAATATTATTTTTTACATTTCTCTAAAATACGAGCGGGCAGGTCCGACGAACAAGAAATTTTATTGGTGTGGCCTTATCAATAAATTTTAGCTAATATAAGAAGGTATATGAAATATTTTTCTTGTTTGAAAGCTTCTGGTACAAGTTCTTTTTTAACCCACCTCTGTTGCTTTTCTGAAATTATGTGTACAATGTTCTTCAGATCTGTGATATTATAGCCAAAGGAGCCTATGGAAATGTTTTGCGAGTTCGCAGAGAGGATGAAAAACAGTATTATGCCATGAAGGTAAATAAATACCATAATGGGTTTCATTCCTACCTGGTTAACAATGGTTATCTCAATTTCTTGGGGTGGGGTGGGACGGACTGTATTTTTAATTTTATGCACGTATAGTCCTTTATAACCTACAGTTTTGTTATTTCTGCATTTGCAAGCATCTTTTGTCTGTCATTTTTTTTTAAATCAAGCTACATCAAACACAAGCTTTAATCTGATTGGTGTCAATTTTTTTGATTTTATTTATTTTCAAAATACACAACTAATGTATTGAGAAATGTATGAAGAACCCTGAACAAATTACAGTAACACCCATGTGACGTAATTGTAACAGTTATGTTACCCATTGCCAAGCAAGTTGCTGAGGGTTACATTACAAGATGCGAAATGCACCTATACCATCAGATTTTGGTAACTATTAAGTACAGTTGCTCATTTGTAAAATAATATTTTCATTGCACTTTTAATATCACATCTTTATACATTCGTAGGTGATGAGCAAAACACAGATTATTGTGGAAGGAGCAATACAACAGTGCAAAGATGAGGCAGCTATTCAGGTTCTTGATTGGACTGATATTTTAGATAAGGCTTTTAGATTGACCAAATAAAATATATAAAAGTTTTAGGTATTTTCAGGTAAAATAATTATTACTTTTTTTACTTTTCATTTGATAATTGAATTTTAAATTTCAGGCCATGCTTGGGGATCATCCATTTATTGTAAAATTGCATGAATACTGGCAATCCAAAAAGTATCTTTACATAGGTCAGTCAATTAATATTTCCTATTCCTTATTTAGTTTTGGTATGATCTGAGCATTTAACTTTAGTATTCCATAAGAATTTTTACTGGATAAATGAAAATGACACCATCACTCAGAATTTTTAAAATCATAGGAAAAAGAATTTTAAATATAAAAAGTTAGTCAACAAAAATAAAATTCTTGACAAATCATAAGATTGTGTTAATAATGAAAACACAGTTTTATAATTTGTGGACTTTAAATTTTTTGTTGTTTTACTTCTGATACTTTGATAGGTTCTTTTTTAATGTGTTAAAAGTTTGTAGTTATAAGGTTAAAGCATATGGAGATAATTTTTTGTTTTAGTGCTTGAGTATGTTCCTTATGGAGACCTGTTCACTCTGTGGTCCTTTCACGGTTACTTGCCAGAAATGTTGTCCAGAGTTTATATTGCGGAAATGGCAATGGTCTTAGGTTTGTTCAATATTTAAAGTGGTTTCTTAATCAATTCTAGTTAAATGAAATAGTATACAAGATTAATAAGTTTATTATAATATCCACTGTCTTGAATCATATCTGTTGCAGATTATCTTCACAAATCTGGTGTCATTTATAGGGACATAAAGGTAAAGAGTCATTAAAGTTCAGTTATTATACCCCCCGCAAACGAAGTTTGGGGGGTATATAGGAATCACCTTGTCTGTCTGTCCGTCTGTCCGTCTGTCTGTGCAATCCTCTCCGGTCCATATCTTTCTTACAGAGGGACATTAGAATCTACTACTCCACACAAAGATTGCCCATGACCTAAGGGTGTGTCATGACCTTGACCCAAGGTCATTTGGGGAACTTCAAGGTCACTGGAAGAAAAAATTTCATAATTCGTGTCCGGTCCATATCTTTCTTATGGATTAACTTGGTTGGTTCTCAGTTCACACAAAGATTGCCCATGACCTAAGGGTGTGTCATGACCTTGACCCAAGGTCATTTGGGGAGGTTCAAGGTCACTGGAAGAAAAATTTCATAATTGTATCCCGTCCATATCTTTCTTATGGATAAACTTGGTAGGTTCTCATTTCACACAAAGATAGCCCATGACCCAAGGGTGTGTCGTGACCTTGACCCAAGGTCATTTGGGGAACTTCAAGGTCATTAGAAGAAAAATTTCATAATTCGTGTTTGATCCATATCTTTCTTATGGATAAACTTGGTAGGTTCTCATTTCATACAAAGATTGCCCATGACCTAAGAATGTGTCATGACCTTGACCCAAGGTCATTTGGGGAAGTTCAAGGTCACTGGAAGAAAAAATTCATAATTCTTGTCCTGTCGATATCTTTCTTATGGATAAACTTGGTAGGTTGTCATTTCACACAAAGATTGCCCATGACCCAAGGGTGTGTCGTGACCCTGACCCAAGGTCATTTGGGGAACTTCAAGGTCACTGGAAGAAAAATTTCATGATTCATGTCTGATACATATTTTTATTATGGAAAAACCTACTTCTGAAAAACCCAGCGGGGGGTATTTTGTCCAGTTTGGACAATTCTAGTTTTAATATTGCCCAAAAGTTTTTCAAAGAAACATTGCTGTAATTGTAATTTTAAAAAATGCCAATTTATATGATTCTGTGTTCCAATTTTTTTGTGTGTGTGAAAAGTTATTGACATGAATCTGGAGAATAACAAAATTATAGTCGCCATTAGTCAGTATGTTTTCAATTCAAATTCTAACTTTGCTCTCTCCAAACCAGAACAGCTACATTCTGGTGTGAAAGAATTTGTGTGTGTGTGTGTGTGTGTGTGTGTGTTTTTGTAATATTTTAACAAGTCTTAATATTATCAAAAGGTTTTACATCATTTTTTTTAGATGGAGAACATACTTTTAGATGCAGAAGGTAATGTTATTAGCCCTCCTAAAAGAAAATTTAAAGATTGATTTTCTTTACAAATATTTTTTTGTATTTTCCTATTTATAACTGATCTGATTTTGATTTTAGGTCATATCCAGTTGACAGATTTTGGTTTAGCTAAATGGTTAAACCGTGGAGAAAGGACTAGAACCATCTGTGGAACATTGCAATATATGGGTAAATTATATGATGGAACTTCATTGACATAGTCATCCTTTAACAGTGTACATTTTTTATTAATTGTTTGCATGGTCTTGTCTTTTATAATGACTGAATACTTACATGAGATAACTTGTTACAGCCCCTGAGGTATTGGCCACCACTCCATACGGCCACACCGCTGACTGGTGGTCCCTAGGAATACTCATGTACGTCCTACTCGCTGGAAGGGTAAGTCCAATTTTTGAAATAAATTAAAATAAAAAATACCTAAAGGTTCTCTTTATTTCATTCAGTTGTTTAGGATTAGCAGTTAGAGCAAGGTTTTTGCTAAATTGACAATATCACAGTTAGCATTATTCCTAAGTTCTAAGCCATACCTGAACCGCTCGAATGTGACCAATACAGTGATGAAATTAATTGGTTAATAGGACAACAGTACCTTTAAATGAAAAATCAGTTAAAAATTGAAAACAACAATAATTTACTGTAAGAAATATTAGAGAATTACTTTTTCTTCTGATAGTTCTATAGTGTATTTTTGTTTTTTTCACATTTCAGTACCCTGCTGAGGGGGCTCAGGATCATGACGAGATGCTCAAACTTGTGTGGGACAGTGATTATTTACTCCCCAACCACATCAGTGATAAAGCTCAGGAGGTCATCAATAAGGTCAGTGATAATGTATTTGAATCCTTTCTGTTCTTAACTTTTATAGACTTTTTTTTGGTCAAGAATGCTAATATTGTTTAAACTGTAAATGGAACAAAGTCATAAATATGTTATCTACTTTTAAAATCAACCTGAACTTCATGTGTTTAAGTGTAATCTGAAATTTTTATCTTTATACAAACAACTTGACGTTTACGATTTGTATTTTTTTTTTTATATTTGTAATGTAAATATATTAACTAGTGAAGTATTTCTTTCTTATTCACAGCTTCTTATGAAGAATCCAGACAAAAGACTTACGGATCTATTAGCTCTTCAAAATACCAACTTTTACTCCAATTTTAACTTTACTGCTGTTTTAGAAAAAAAGGTTAGTTAATTATATGTAGGATCTCCCATGGTTTTGTGGTTGGATATGATGTATCTAAAAGTCTTGTCAGGGAGATAAAAAATGATATCCTGTAAGCAATATCCGCTGCATAAAGGAATAGACACAATAAATATTTGTACATAAATTATATGTCTGTTTCAATACTTCTGTGTCTGAGCTCTCAAACATGGCTACTAGTCAAAGCTTCCTCAAGTGTTTGTTCATTCCCTTTTGTTCTCATTATAATATATAGTATTACTAAGTACTAGTTAGGTTGAAAAATGTTAATAAATGTATGTTTATATGCTCTTACTTAACTTTTTACCCTTTTTAGGTGTCACCAAAGGACATAGTTCCCCACGATTTTTTCCCAATGACAGGGGTTAGTTATAGTTATGCCCCCCAACCAGCCCCGAGTGAAGATGAATTTGCACAGGTAAGAAAATCACATTGATATTCATGGACACTTATTAAGAATTAGAAATTAAAGAAAATTTATTAGATTTATATATATAACCACAAACTTATATTTATTTATTAATCTTTAAGTTAAATGATTTTTTTTTTCAGTTTGACTTTGTGTGGAACCTTCCACCAGAGACAGAGGCTGTGTTTGTATAAGAAATCCATGTCATTCCTGCAGCATTAAAGGGACCAATGAGATGCATGACCCGTAGAGGAAAAACTTACAAGCAATGAGTAACTGTAGCAGTGTAAAAGTATTTATGTGCAATTGCTTTTTATTTAAACAAGGTATTTAGACACACTGTCTTTTAATTTCACACAGATCATGTTTGTCATATTTTCATTTGTACATATATGTATATTTAAACAGGTTGTAAAGAATGCTGTAAATGTATGTTAACTGGACAGGTTGTGACAAATATTGTTAATATGAAGGAATCTCTAAATGTTTCATCTGTGATGGCATAATCTTAAAGTATGACCAAAAGAGTGTTTAATTCATTTCTGTTCTTGGTAAATGAAATCATTTCTCTGATATTAATTTAAACCACCTTTTTTTGTTATCAAGCAAATTAAGTCTGCTTGAAATTAATGTTACCATGAATCTAGAGGATTTTTTAATCTTCTTTTTACACTTCTGTCTTTTTCATGGTGCATGAATTTTAAAATCAAAATATAATGTGCCATTTATTGTTGATTTCAGGAAAACCTGCTCACCGACAGCATGTTTTTTTTTTAAATTCATGGTTTCTCTGTTTCTTGCCTATGTTGTACTATAATTTTTTTTGTTAAAATTTCAACTATAATACACAAGTTTGTTGAAATGTTTTTACATGTATACTTACTATGCATTTAAATAATAATTATTTATGATTTTATTTGATTTTATATCTTGATATTTTTTATTTCATTTAAATGGAAGTGATTTCTTTTTCTTCTCTTTTTAATTGAATTTAAATTTTGACAAAATGAATTTGAGTTTTTAAATAAGAAATCATTATGACTGTTGATTGACTGTGAAGGCTAAAGCTTTAATCTTTTTTGCTGGATTGTATTTCCTTACCAATTTTCTCTCAGATGTACGTGATGTTTAAACAACGAATGGATGTGTTTTACAAATCAAAAGTTGTCTGCATGATAACAAGAGAAATCAATTATTAAGGATTGATCCATGTTAAGTTGGTGCAGTCTTGTCTCACATTATTAGATGCATGGTGTGTGTTGTTTTATGATGTTTAATGCTGACTGTTAGGAAACTAAGCAAGATAATTTATATTCAGGGAGTTAAATGTTTGTCATTGTTTAATTTTTGTTTGATATCAGTGTATTTTTTTTACCTCTCATTGTGTTCATTTCAACAAATATTTGATTACTGATGCTACACATTCCCCTAAAGCTGGAACACAAGTATACTTGTAGTGTTTATATCAAGTGGTGTAGTTTTCATATCATGATTGTTATATCAGTGTCTAATAATTACCATTACAATCAAATAGTGGTTGTCATCTTGCATTTAAAGCAATAGATAAAAATATGTGTAAAATACATTAATATTTTTTTTTTTATAGTGAATTGTTTGTTTTTACTCTGCTCAATGTCAAATTCAGTGTTTTTTATTCAATACAGAAAGGTTTTATTCATTTGAGAATGTTTTGAAAAGTTTAGGATATCAAGTTTGTTTTACAAGACTGTATGCATTTTTTTTGTTCAGAAGCTTATTTTTTATTTGATTTTTTAAAATCAAAACAATTAACCAGAAAATGTATCTGATGTCTTTTGTTTTTATATTGCTAACAGCAACCCTCGTTTGATTAAGGATTTTAAAACGTTTTATATTGATAAGGAGAAATTAGGGTCTATGAAAGGAAGAAAAAATGAATGTGTATGAACTGAATGAAATGTTGATAGAAAACCATCAATTCAACTTACTTTTTACAGATGTAGATTGCATATAATAATTAGTTAAAAGAATCTTTTCAGTAAATATTGAAATATTTCGATTCTAGCTTGTACAGATTTTACATTTACAATGAACTTAGAAATCTGTGTCTATCATAAAAGTAATATTTTAAAACTACATTCCTTGCTGTGAATTAACTTGTGTTCAAATGAATACAGGACTGATAAATCACATATGATATCTAATATTTACATTGACAGTTGATTAATATGAAGAACAGAACATTTAACGACATGATAGTTTGGTTCAGCTAAATAATAAATTGATAATGTGGAATTATGTACCCAGTGTATTTGAAAACATGACATTCTGATTCAGTAAATTATTCAGGAACTGCTCTTCTGTGTATTTCTGTATTTTCTTTCTTTATAAGGTTTAATTAATAACTTTATTAGAATGTCAAGTAAGTTTATTTTTGTACCTACTTTTAAACATAGGTAATCAGAGATTACAGAGCTCACCTCAACGAATGTTGTCTTAAAGTAAGGCAAAGTCATGCAATAAACCAACATTCTAAAAGATTACATCCCAAAAGGCAAAATTTATGTAATTTTGATCTGATAGGACTTGCAGTTACTTGGGAATAGACCTACCCAAAAACTTCAAACTAGCCACCCATCAAGAAAATGTAATACAAATCCAGCATTTGAAGCAATTTTGAGAGTGTTCATCCCTTAATTCATCATTTATGCAAGCATGGTTGATATAGCTAAGGCCTTATAGTTGCTTGGTGATAGACCTGCATCCGTTAATTTTACCTGATCCATTATCTGGAAAATGAATGTTCAATCCAGCATCTGAAGCAAGTCTATTAGTTTGCATCCTTAGATGTATCATCCATGCAAGTTTGCTCAAACATAGGGCATATTAGAATGAACTTGATCCAAAAACTTTAACCTCTTCACTCATCAATAAAATGTAAGTCAGATCCAGGATCTGAAGCAAGTCCGTAAGTGTGCATCCTTTGATGTTTTATCCATGCAAGTTTGCTCCACATAAGGCTCACAGTTCCTTAGAAATGTTATCTGCATCAAAAACTTTAACCTATTTACTCGTCCAGAAAATGTAGGTCAGATTCAGCATCAGAAGCAAGCCTGGTAGTGTGCATCCTTAGACGTTTCATCCCTGCAAGTTTGGTCATCAAAGGTCTTTTAGTTACTCGGAAATGAGACCTGCACCAAAAACATTAACCTGTTTACTTATCCAGAAAATGTAAGCATCCGAATCAAGCCTAATTGTATGCATCTTTAGATGTATCATCCATGCAGAGCTTATAATTACTTGGAAATGAGACCAACACCAAAAAAAAATTAACCTGTTCACTCATCTGGAAAATGTAGGTCAGATTAGCCTGGTTGTATGCATCCTTTGATGTATCATCCTTGCAAGTTTAGTCAACGTTTATAGTTACTTGGAAATAAGACCTACACCAAAAACTGCACCAAAAATCTTAACCTGCTCCAAAAACATTAACTTGGTCATTCCTTTGCTGAAATTGCAGCATCTGAAACCTTATCTGGTACAATGAAACACACTAGAAACATCTTCCATGCATGTCTGATCAATATAGAGCATAAAAGTACTTAAAAAGAGAACTGCTCCAAAAACCTTAACCTGGGACGCCGACGCCGAGGGTATCACAGAAGCTCCCCAAACTTCGTCGAGATGAGCTAAAAAGTGAGGGTTATAAATATGGGTGAATGGAGATAAATGGCAGTATTCAAGATCGAATTTCCATGAAAACAATACTAACACGGATCTTTAAAAAATAAGAGTTGGTATTAGGAGCCTTGAAGGAGAAAGCATAACTTATTGAGTGTTCACACCCGCGGTGTGCTCCTTGCCATGATTCGGCAAACGAAAATATAATCTTTGACAATTCAGTGTGTAAATAATGGCCTATCTATTTGTACCGTATAAGTGGAAATTTTGGCGAAACACAAATTTAGCGATTTGTCCTTAAAAATTGGTATTTAATGTTTAGCGAGATGTAATTTTAGCGATTTTAATTAAAAAGCTCACTAAAGAAGATATTACAAATAAAGTGCAATTAAATTTTAGCCATATTCAATTTTAGCGATCTTGGTACCCTCGCTAATAATGGCAAAATTAAATCCTCCCCAAAAATTCTGCTTATACGGTATGTAAAACGTCAGTCAGCTTTCGACTTTATCACAGATTGTATTTGTTGACAAGGTTATTGTATCTGCAATGACAGAATTTGCGAAATAACTTGAAACGAGACTGTTGATATTCTTGTTTCACCAAATTGTTTGTCAGTAGCTTGCCTCGTTTTAAAAATTATTTGTACTTCTTGTGCATCAAATCAAATGGGAGACATAAAAGTCCTATGCAGGTGTTGAGGATATATTGCTATTGATAGAAAAGTTGAAGTCATCACATTTATCATAAAGTTTTGTTGTTAGATTACCACTGACGCCTTTCTGCAATTAAATATCCAAGTTAGAGACGGATCTTGATGTTCCCGGCCCTGTACTCTATTATTTTAGGTTCACCGGAATATATCCTGTCGCCATATAAATGGAATAACTACTGTTAAATGTATCTAAATATCGAGTTGAGGGCCACAGCAAGTGTTTTCTTCTTATAAGGATATTGTATCCGATATAAACTTGATGGTAAATTTGGTTGTCATAGAATAAGAATAGCTTTTATTGTGACAAAAAACTTTCAAATGGATAATCATGTGCCTCAGACGATTGCACTGCATTTTACCAACTCAAATACATTTGACATAATGTCGAAGTCGTGAGTCATATAAAATTAGAAGATAGTATTTTTGCTTGCTGTACCTTGGTTCTAATGAACTTTATAGAGAAATTATTTGAATAGATTTTTTAAAAAAGATGGTGGATATTTTTAAGAGGGTAAAACAATTGTCTTTGAAAGACCGCCAAGAATTGTTACAAAATAATATTTAAAAATGCCATAACCATCCAAAATCGATAACCATAAAAAAAATAGATCATCTACAAAATTTCAAAAAAAACTTTTGAAAATGAATGAGATATGGAATATGTGGAGATAAGCTCAAAATTTCATTAAAACAACATAATCCTGGAGCAGCTAGAGCAAACACGGACCACTAAACATCAGAGAGGGAATCAGGTGCCATGGATAATCCAAAATTAAGTCAGATCGTTATAGGTGACAAATACTTTTTCAAGCCAGATAGAAACTTAGTCAAGATGGGAAGAAATATGAAGGGCAAAGCATTGCCAAAGGAACCTGGAATCGACGAATATCAATTTCTATAACACCAAGTGATTCATGATATACTAGTACTTCCCATTATGTATTATAAATTTCAATAAAAGAAAACTTTTAGATATCGAGAGTTCATGATATACTTCCCATTATGTATTATAAATTTCAATTCTCCAGCCCAAAAGCAAAAGATAAGAAGGGTTATCTGCAGCGTCTCGAGCTCTCGTCAAGATCTTTCACTAATAGGTGATTATATAGAAGTATCAATTTTAGGTTTTCCTCAGATACCGCAGAGTCTGATACATCTGTTTCATATGTGGACTATTACTTATATTTGAACATCTTTTACCAGGAAAAGACGTGAATGGTTATCTAACAACAAAGCTTTATGATAAACGTAATGACTTCAACTTTTCAATCGCCAACTTCATTTACTTATGCACTTATACAGCAATATATACATTCATTATCTGAATTTGGAGTTTATATCTCTCTGATCTCTCAGTTGATTCGAGACGCAAGAGCATGTTCTACGTATGAATAATTTCTAAAACGAGGTTGGTTATTGACAAATAAGTTGATTAAGCAAGAATATAAGCAGACTTGTTTAAAGTCATCATTTCGTAAGCTCTATGGTCGATATACATGTATAAGATTAATTATTAAGTCAAATGCTGATTTTTTTCATACTGATTGCTAAGCAATTATTTACACAATGAGCTGTCCACGGATTTTTCCTGTTACTAGTATTTCCAGATCATGATATAAGGAACACACGGCTGGTGTGACTGGTAGGCAGGAAATGCACACTCCTCCATGGTACCTGATTCCACCTCTGATGTTTTGGAGGTCCGTGTTTGCTCTGCTCCTATTTTGTAATGTTTAATGGCCTTTTGAGCTCGAATACTGATAATTATCTCCACATATTTTCATTTAAGAGACAAAGAATTGTACTTGCTTAACATTTTTCTCCTTTAGATGAATAAAGAGTGTAAAAAGTTTACGGCCTATCAGGCTTGAAAGCTTATTTGGGATTCCATAATTAAATCCACTCATTTAAATAGCAACCACCTGAATCATACAATGTATATAATTTATATGTAGAATTATCTTTATCACTGATTTATCATATTCAAACTGACTCTCCTGGAGTGTTTTCCAAACAGTTAAGATAGTGTATAAAGACGAATGGGCATTGTACAGTACGGGTATGGTACTAGAAATCAACTGTTCTTGGTAATGTTATTTTAATTTTATCTAAAAGGGCATAAACCCAACCCTTAAGAGATAATTTCCACAAGTATAATGCATGGATATATAGCATATAATAAAAGTTCACGTAGATTCTTTTTATGGTTAAGAAGTAAAACTTTGAATTTTTGAAACCCTTTAATTTGAAATTAATTTTACATTCATTTTTCTTAAAATGTTTTTTAAACATAAATATTGGTTTCAATATGTTTTATATATTGGTACAATTTTATCGAAAATATCCGTTTTTTTTCAGTGGAACCGGTCATAATGAATGGAAGTAGTTTTAGTTCGAAATTGAAACCTTTGAGGAGAAATACAAAGAGTTTTACAACACCTGTATCAGCACAGCTGCCAAAGAAAAAAACAATGTTACAACATTTCTGGCTTTCAAGTTTTCCAAAGACTTCTGAAGATTTTTTTGACTGTGAAACATCAACTCCATTGATCAATACCTGAAGCTAATTATAAATTTGCAGAGTTTTCAATTTTCACCTTCAAGGGGTGACAAATGTCTTTTTTGTTTATGATGCAATTTACTAGTACCAGATTGCGGATCACACACTTTACAAACAAATGTCTTGGAAAGAAATTTAACTTCTTTAAACTTATACTTTAAATTGTGTTCTGAACCTCCCCTATAGAATGTCTAAGACTAACACCACAATCAAAATCAGAATGTTTTATCAAAAACTCTTCATCGAGATATAATCCGACATCAAAACCATCTTCAATAGATAAAAAAGCAATCATATGATAATAGTTTACAGACAATAAAATGTATTTAATGAGATGGGAAGTGTTTTTGTTCCTAATATTTTGTGTTTTCGGTTCCTGTATTGGAACTCCTTGTACTTTA